GCTCCCCGTCGCTGCCCCCCCCCCCCCCCCCCCCTTCAGGCGCATGGCGCGGCCCCTTGCGCGGCTCCTTGCCAGCCGGAGCGCTGATGCTCTCGGGGGCCCCTTCCTTCCTCCGCCCCCCCCCCACCCCCCCCCACCCCCTTCGCGGCGGCAGTCGCTCCAACAAGGATGCCCTCTTCCAAGCCGGCGACCGTGTGCTGGTCGTCAGCCTCATGGGAATGATGACCCACGCGGCGCAGATCACCCACATGCAGGAGCTCGTGCACGCGTGGCATCCGGGCTTCGTCACCCGGGCGGAAGAGGAGCTCGTGCCGGCGGCCCTGCGCATTCATCTGAACACCATCCAATCGCCCGGCCAGGGGGCCGGCTCGCCGGCCACCTCGCCCACGGCCCTGCTGGCTCGTCTTCTGGGGAAGTTCTCCCCGGACTACATTCTGTCGGTCATCCGGTCGGAGTTCTTTCGCGACCGGATGTTCGAAACCCTCTGGACCATGCAGGCCCTCAACGAGTCGGCTCTCAGCTTCTACATTGGTCGGCTTTCGGAAATTGCCTCCGAGAACCGGTGCGTTGCTCGGCCGCCGTCTCTTCCCTTCTGTCTGTCTGTCTGCCTGTCTGCCGATCGGTCTGCCTGTCTGCCGATCGGTCTGCCTGTCTGCCGATCGGTCTGCCTGTCTGCCGATCGGTCTGCCTGTCCTTCTCTGCGCCTTCTCCTCCCTCTCTTGGGCATTGGTCCAAGTGCTTTACCGCCTCGTTGGCCATGCGCGCACTCGCTGACCCGCCGTCTTGGGCCGCGCCCCCTCCCTTCCCGCCCGTCCATCGCCCGCACCCTAGTCTACTCTCCTCGGTGTCCTTCGGCCCGGGGTCGCCGCTGCAATCCAGCAGCGGGTGCGTGGTCCAGCTGCGCGAGGCGGTCGGCGCCTTGCCGGAGGTGGCCATCCCGCTGGAGCAATGCATCGCCACCGAGGCGGCCCTCCCCGTGCTGCTGGTGGCTCAAATCCTCGGGGCCACGGACTTCCTGATGGAGATCACGGACAATCTGGGCGCCGGGGCCGGGGCCGCGTCTGCCCCGGGCGAGGCTTTCCTGCTGGCGCCCACTGCGGCTCCGGCTGCGGCCACAAGCCGCTCACGTGCCGCCACGGTCACCGAGGGTGGTCCCCCGATCCCGGCGGAGCTCGCCCCGGCGGCATCCGAGCCTGGTCCTTCCCCGGCGGAGGAGTCCCTCCTGGCGAAGGAGCTCTCCTCGCTCCCCTCGTCCTTGGGCCTGGACCTGCTGTTCGATGCGCCCTCCAAGGGGGGCGCCTCCTCCGGTGCCCGGGCGCCCGGGCGCCATTCGGCCACTTCCGTTCTGTCCCTCGATCCGACCGCCGGTGCGTGCCGGTGTCTCTCCCCGGGCCCTGCTTTTTTCCCTCCCGCCCGAGGCCCGGATCAGCCAAGGCGTCCACCACCCCCTTCACGGCCAGGCCAGTGTGGGCATTGGTGTGCTGTGTCTTTTTCCTCTTCCCTGGCATTTCCTACCTGTCCCATCTGACATGGTCTCCCTGCTCTCGCGCTCCCCCCCCCCCTCTGTGCCCCTACTGCGCATCTCTCTCTCTCTCTCTCTCTCCCGCATTTCTTCTTCTTCGCCTGTCTCCCCCCCTTTGGCCAGACTCGGTGGCGGAAATCCCGGTTCCTGTGCGGCGAAAGAAGAAGAAGAAGAGCCGCGATGAGGCCTCACCTCGGCAGCCCTCGGCCCGGGCGTCCCGGCGGTCATCGATCACCTCGTCCGAACCCAGCGGCAGCAGCGGCGGCCTGGACACGCCATACATTGCCACCCCCCCGTCGGCGCCGGAGGATGCGGTCAGTGCGGCTCTCACACCGGCGCCGATCATCAACATTGACACAGGGTCCATGGATGGGCCGGTTCGGGTGTCCAAGAAGGCCACCACAGCCAGGGTTGATGGCGATGTCGCGGCGGCGGCGGTTGCCATCCCCCGGCAGCGGACCAAGTCCCGGACCAAAGCGCCACCGGCACCACCCGAGTTGCCGGACTCGCCGGTGCTGGTGACCGCGGACCCACCGACGGCGCCGGTGGCATCGCAGTGCCCAGCCGACGAGCCGGCTTCCCCAGTTGGCAGCGGCAGTAGCAGCAACAGCGGCGGCGGCGGCGGCGGCGGCAAGGATGCCGGCATGCCGGTCGGCCCACATGACTCCTTCACGGAGATCTCGGACTTCTCCACACCCGACTGCAGCCTCCCCTCGAGCCCGGGGCTCCCGGCGACCGAGGTGGGTGCCGCTGGCTCGGACTCGGGCCCGGGCCCGGGCCCGGCGGTCTTGCCGGTGCCGGTTGTCGAGGTGACCGACTGGCAAGCTGGCCATCCGGCGGCTGGCCGGGACAAAAAGCCCCCCTCGAAGGATGCCTCGCGCGGCGGCAAGACGACCCGGATAAAGTCCACCTCCCGGCGGGGGTCCGTGAGCGGCCCCCCGCCGGCGGACGTCCAGCCGGAGTGCGGTGCCGCCACGCGGGCGAGCGAGTCCGCCGGCCTCCTGTCGCCGGAGGGAGGGGACCTCCTGGCGGTGGACATGCCGCCGGTGGTTCGCGTGGGATCCGGCTTCGTGGACCCGCCTGATCCCTTCTCCCGGTTATCGGTGGCGGCTCCGCGCGACTCGACCCTTTCCTTCCCCGATGCCCTGGACCTCTCGTCGCCGGAGCTGCTGGACGCCGAGTACCTGGCCGAGGGGCAGGCGGCCAGCGCGCGGTCCTCCAGCTCGGGCTCCTCGAATCGGGCGTCGTCGGTGACCACGGCCGCGGTCCTGCTATCCTGGGCCGACACCCGGAAGGGGGAGGAGCCTGCCTCGGGCCCGGGGCCGACGGAGGCCGAGGCGCCCGCCTCCGACTGGGACATCCTGGCACCGGACACCTTCGCCACCAAGCACTTCATCACCATGCCGGAGTACATCCACCACCAGGTGGCCGATCCGTTCCTGCGGGAGTTCCAATTCTCCGAGCCCTTCATGGCCCTATTTTTCGATGACGGCCTGGTCCGCGAGGAGGTCCGGTACCTGCCGTTGCTGTACTCCGACGCGCCGATCTTCGCCCTGGACCAGGTGGCCGGGCGGAGCCCCGAGGACTTTGCCATCCTGCTGCAGTCGGAGCCGAGCGTCATCCGCCGGCAGGCGCCCATCAACTCCCCGGACAGCGGTCTGCTCCTGTCGACCCTCAAGTCGGCCGTGTGGCTGGGCTCGCGAACCAGCGAGCTCGTGGCCAATGCCACCAGCCTCCCCTGGCATCCGGGCAAGTACATGGCCCGGCAAATTGGGCAGTTTTGTGCGTTTGGCGCTTGCCCCGCCCTCGGCCCTGCCCGATGGTCTCCCTTCTTTTGCGCCCCTTCCCCCGGCCTCCGGGCGCCGTGGAGTCTGGCCGCCCGTCCGCTGGCCCATGCCGGTCGCGGCCCCACTGACATCTCCCCCCCCCCCCCCCCCCCCGCCCCTGGCATTCGGTCCCTGCCACAGATGAACAGTCCCCCTTCCAGGATCGCACGTCCCCCACCACTCTCATCTCGGACTTCCACAAGCTTGTGACCCATCTGAATGAGGCCTACATGCGGGACACGGTGGTCACCGACCTGACGCCGGATGGCACCCTCCGGACTTACAAGGTGCGCCTTTTCTCTTTCGGGCCCCACCCCCCTTGCCTCTCTGCCATCGGGGTCGCTGGCCTGGCTATGGCCGCTGCTGCGGGTCCGGTGCTCTCACACACACTCCTCCTCCTCCTCCTCCTCCTCCTCCTCCTCTTCCGGGCATGTGTGTGCGTGCGTGCGCGTGCGTGCGTGTTGCCCGGCCCAATCCCGGCCCGCGTGCAGCACATCGGCTCGGGCATCTCCGCGCCGGCCCCCCAGAAGGAGGAGCCGCTGATGGCCTGCTTCTTCTGTTCACACCCCATCAGCACCAATCCGCCGCTGGAGTCGACCCTGCGCACGGCCTTCGCTCGGAAGCTGGTCTCCTCGGCCAATCGCCTGCGGGACACCCTGCTGCAGGCCGATGCCGATGGGGCGGATGGGGCCATCCAGCCGGCCTTCGCCCCGGTGAAGGCGCACTACTGTCACTTTTCGGAAAAGTGGATCTGCGGCGGGTGCCTCTCGCCGTCCAGCTTCCCGATCCCGGCGCGCGTGGTCAACCGCCACGATGTCACCCCGCAAACGGTGTCCCTGATTGCGGCGGCGGTGCTGGCCTTTGGCTGGCACCTGCCGGTGTTGGCGCTGACCGGCGACTCGGCGGATGCTGCCCCGGCGGCCGGCGACCGGCGGCCCTCGCGCGTGGATCAGGCCCTCCTGCTGACGCGGCGTCTGATGGCCAGTGTCCAGCGGACCATGAACGGCATCATGCTCAATCGCCAGTGCGTCTTTGGCCCGGTGCAGCAGGTGATCGGGAAGCGCGTGCAGGCGCCGATGCCGGTCTTCCGCCGGGCGATGGACGATGTCGACGGGGGGCCCCTCGCGGGGGGGCATCCGGCCGACATGGAGCCCGAGGCCGACGGGCCGGCCTTTGGCCAGCTGGTGGATCCGGCTCGGCTGCCGGAGGCCGCGCGCCCGGGAACCGGGCAGGGGGCCGTCTTCGCCGCGGCCGCCGGTCCGCGGTACCTGCTGTCGCTGGCGGAGTTCGTGTACATCATCCGCGACCAGGCCCCCCCGCCGGCGCTGGTGGCCCACGTCAACCAGGTTGCCCAGCATGTTCGGTCATGCAGCACGTGCACCGAGCGCCAGGGGTCCTTCTGTTTGAAGCCCGGGTGCCCATGGCCGCGGGGGATCCTCTTCCACTTCGATGCCACGGATTTGGTGACCGTTTGCCCGCGCTGCCGGAGCTGCTACCATGCCCGGTGCATCGGCCCGTCGGCCCTCGAGTCGTGTGTCATCTGTGCCCGGCGGCGAAAGGCCGCCACCTCTGTGGCTGCCCCGCCCTCCTCCCCGGGGGGCAGCGCATGAGCCGTGTCCTGCCACCCGCGCCCGGGCCGCCCCCCAATGCACGCTCCATGCTTTCTCTGCCTGCCGCCCTGCCATTGTTTCTTTGGGTCTTTTTTTTCCGGCTCTGTCCTCGTGTGTGTGTGTGTGTGTGTGTGTGTGTGTGTGTGTGTGTGTGTGTGTGCATGTCTCCCGCGGGCGCGCGCGTGCGGGGCCCGGGTGTTTGAGCAGGGGTGGGCCGCGCTTTTGCCGGTGCTTGCCTGCCGCGGCGGCAGGACACAGGTAATGCCGCGTGCCTTTTTTTTTTTGCTTCCCCGGTGGGTCATCTTGTGTGAGACCTGTCCGAGCGCAGTTGGGCACGCCCTGTCTGCGGCCAGTGTGGTCGCCCCCGCTTGCCATGCACATCATGGAGTTCCGCCCCCTCCCCCCCCCCCCGGCCCCTGGCCAAAGCACAGGCACCACACTACCATCATATTCAGGACTCTGTGTATAATTTATTAGGGGACCCAATCACATATGCCACTCGCCGGCTGTTCTCGGTCTCTCGCGCCCGGCAGGGAAGAAGGCATGCGAAAGAGAGAGAGGAAGAGAAAGAGAGGGCCGCCACGACACGAGGGAGGGCCCACGTCGCTTGGGGGGAGCGACACGGAAGGGCACTGCGCCGCATGCGCGAGGGCACGCCCCCAGAGGAGGGGGCGGGGGGAAAGAGAGTGGGCCATGGGAATGAGCATGCGCGGCGGGCGCTTACTTGGAGCTCAGGAGGACAACCTCGAACTTGAGCTTGGCGTTGCGGGGGAATGTCAGGCGGGGCACCGGCGGCACCGTAGGCGAGCGGGGCGGGGATGGTCAGCATCCGGCGACCACCGGGGCGCATGCCCTCGACACCGAGGTCCCAGCCGCGGATGACCTCGCCGGCACCGAGGCGGAAGGAGAAGGGCCGGCCACGGGGGAGGTTCGAGTCGAAGACCTTGTTGTTGCTGGCCAGACGCCCGGTATAGCGGACGGTGACGTTCTGCCCGCGGGTGGCAGGCTTGCCGGAGCCGACCTCGACATCCTCGACGATGAGGCCATTGCCGAAGGTCTTGACCATGGGCTTGGGGGCAGCCTCCTTCTTGGCGGCGGCCTCCTTGGCAGCGGCCTCCTTCTTGGCAGCGGCCTCCTTCTTGGCGGCGGCCTCCTTCTTGGCGGCGGCCTCCTTGGCAGCGGCGGCAGCGGCCTCCTTCTTGGCGGCGGCCTCCTTGGCGGCGGCGGCGGCCTCCTTCTTCTTGGCGGCAAAGTCCTCGACCTTGGAGCGCTTCTTGGCGTTGGTCTGGGCGCAGGCGGCAACGGGGAGGGGGGTGTGCGTGCGTGCGTGCGTGTGTGTGTGGGGGGGGGAGAATACAGGAGGGCGGTAAGTCACAAGGCCGGGTTGCAGGCAGAGCGCGGGGTGATCCGCGCGCGCGGGAGGAGACCCCCGACGACGGTGGCGGCGCGGCGGGGGCAAGGACGCACGGTCTGCTCCTCGTCATCGCTGTCCTCCTGGCGGCGCTTCAGGGCGCTGGTCAGGGCGTTGTAGAGCTGCTGCTTCTGCTCGGGAGTCAGGACGTCATCATCGTCATCGTCCTCGTCGTCCTCGTCGTCGGAGTCCATGTCGACCGGGTTGCCTGGAGGGGGGGGGGGGGGGGGAAGCAGAAGACGGGAGACGAGATTACAAGGTCTACGGGGTGCAGGGGGGGGGGGGGGGGGGGCATGGCATGGTGTCAGAGTTGTGTACGCGAAGAAGATGAAGGGAGGATGCAGGGGGCGAGGGTAACACCGCGGGTGCTCTGCTGTGGGCGCACCGTCCTCGTCGACCTCAACGATGCGGCCTGACACACACGAAGATGGTGCAACAGATGGATGGGCATGGGATGATGTCAGCAATGGAGTGGCCAAGGTACACTCGCGTGGTGGCAAGTGATGGCTCGCATAAGAGGGGGGGGGGGAGGAGAGGGCCAAGCATGGGCGCACCGTCATCATCCGAGTCATCATCATCGGAGTCCTCGCTGCGGACAGGGGCGGCGGCGACAGGGGGGAGGAGAAGGGAGGCAGGGGGTGTCAGCAGCAGAGCGGCGAGGCGGGGAGGGGTGCGCGTGCACGCGCAGCAAGAGGCCCCCACCCCCCGGGGCGACAAGCAAGCAGGGTGCGCGTTACATCTCGTGCGAGGAGGCCAGGAAAGGGGAGGGGACGAGCGGAGGGGGAGAGGAGTCATACTCATCGTCAACGATGAAGCCGTCATCGTCCGAGTCGCCGGAGTCGTCGTCGCTGTCGAGCAGCTCGGCATCATCGCTGTCGGCGTACTCATCGAGATCGTCGATGGGGCCGAGCTCCTCGTCGGGGACGAAGTAGCCGGTCAGGTGGACAGCGCTGGGAGTTGGTACGCGCGGGGGGGGGGGGGG